AGGAGAAAAACTATATGATCGAATCAACAGACTGAAAATAGCATTTGATAAAATTCAGTACCCTTTCATGATACAAACTCTTAACAAACAGGGCATAGAAGAAATATGCATCAAAATCATAAATGCCATATATAACAAGCCCACAGCCAACATCATACATAACAGGGAAATGTTGAAAACATTTCCTCCAAAACCTTGGACAAGACAAGGATGCCCTTTTTCACTACTCGTATTTAACATAGTACTGGAAGTTCTAGCCACAGCCATCAAGCAAGAGATAAAAGGCTTCTAAATTGGAACAGAAAAATTATTCCTGTTTCCTGAAGATATGGTCTTATATCTAAGAAAATCTAAAGATTCATAAAAAATCTTAGATCCAATAAATGAATTTAGTAAAGTTGCACAATACAAAATACAATGTTTGTTACTATATTATCTTATTTAAGCATTTCAGACTTTCAAATAGTATAGTAGCTATCCTATGATATACCCAGAATTACAAAAAGATAATTTCCAGCATTCTCAATGGAACAATGTACAATTAATTAGGTCTTTAGTTGCATATTTTATATAGCAAATGATTAATTTATTTCTTAAACAGAAGCTTATGTAATACAACTCTGGGGAAAATATTACATTAAAAAACAAACTTTCATCATGAAGACACTAAAAAGTAGCTTACTAATAGAAGCAGAAAACAAAAATGTTTTTAACTGTTATGACTACTAATGTGCAAGGAAACAAATGGACCCTATAAATTGTAGGAAAAATATAGAGAACAGGCTACTATTAAAAAGCAAGATTTTTTTTTTTTTTAAATGAAAACGGCTTTAAAAAGAATTGCAGGGTAACAAATGGAAAACTTAAAATCTGTACAGGATATAGGAAAAAACAGAATTAAAAATGATAAAAAATGAAGCAATATCACAGAAGACACTTGAGAGAAGAATACAGAATTTTTAAAAAACGGAAGTAGAGAAGCAAAAACAATAAAGGGACATTTTCTAACATCATACTTAATGACAAGAGCCTGAATGCTTTCACCCTAAAGTCGGGAACAGGCAAGAATATTCGGACTTACCACTCCTATTCAGCATCATATTGAAGGTCCTAGTCAGTAAAATAAACCAAGAAAAATAAAAGCTGCACAGACTGAAAAGCAAGAAATAAAACTGTCTTTATTCACAGACAATGTGACTATCTACAAAGGAAATCACAAGAAACCTATAAGAAAGCTGCCAAAACTAATTAGTGAATTACCAAGGTTATAGGAAAGTGTAGAAAGAGGTCAGTACAGAAAAATCTATTGTATCTCTATATACTAGCAATAAGCCATTGGAAAACAGAATTTGAAAAATAGTACCAAGAGCTCAACAATGAAAAAAAAAAGAAAGAAAGAGAAAATACTTAAGGTCCAAACCTAACAAAATATGTGCAGGAAACAAAAGATACTGGTAAAAGAAATCAAAGAAGACCTAGCTAAATGAAGAGATATACTCAATACTAGTTAAGAAGTCATTTCTCAATAAAGTTGTCTACAAATTAAACATATCACCCATCAATATCCCAGCAGGATTTTTTACAGACATACAAAAGTTGATTTTCAAATGTATACAAAAAGGCAAAGAAACTAGCATTGCCAAAATAATTATTAAAAAAGAAGAAAAAGTCAGTGGGCTCATAATACCTGATTTTAAGACTTACTATTAAGCTATAATAATGAAGGCAGTATGATATTGGCATAGACACATAGGTCAATAAAATCAAAGAGGGAATCCAAGAAAAAGACTCACACAAAAATATCAAATGATTTTAGACAAACACATGGTGATTCCATGACAAAAGGACAATGTTAACAACAAATCACACTGGAGCAAATGAACATCCATACATAGACAAAATGAATTTTGACCTGCACTGTCATACAAAATTAACTTTATATGGATTTTACATCTAAACATAAAATGTAAATATGTAAAACATTTAGAAGAAAGCAGAAGAGAAAATATTTGTGTCATGGATTAGGCTACAAAGTCTTAGACAGAAAATCAAAAGTAGGATCATGAAAAGAGAAAAAAGAAATAAAACATTTCACCAAAGTTAATGGTTTTGTTCTGGGAAAGACACTGTTAAGAGAATGAAAAGGAAAGGTATAGGAGTAAATATTTGCAAATCATACATCTCACAAAGGACTTCTAGGAATATACAGGTGCTCCTTGACTTACAATGGCGTTATGCCCCAATTAATCTATCGTTAAGTTAAAATATAACAATTCATGAATGCATTTTATACATTTAACCTACCAAACATCACAGCTTAGCCTAGCTGACCATAGACATGTTCAGTATACTTACATTAGCCTGCAGTTAAGCAAAATCATCTAACACAATGCCTATTTTGTTAATGAATACATAATATTTGCACATATTTATGAGATATGTGTGATATTTTCTTATATGCATAGACTGTGCAATGATCATATCAGGGTATTTAAGATATTCACCACCACAAGCATTTAACATTTGTGTATGTTCAGAACATTTCACTTCCTCACTTCTAGCTATTTTGAAATGACCAATATGTTGATGTCAACTATAAGCAACATACTAAACTATCAAACATTAAACTTATTACTTCTAACTATATGTTTGTACTCATTAACCAACTTCTATTCATCCACCCTCTGACCTCAAAGGCCATGCACATACCTACATCCTTCTCAGTCTCTGGTGACTACCATTCTACCCTCTACCTCCATGACATCAACTTGTTTAGTTTCCACATAGGAGTGAGTGCATGTTATATCTGTCTGTGTCTAGCTTATTTCACTCAATATAGTGACCTCTAGTTCTATCCATGTTGCTGGAAACGACATTTCATTCTCTTCTATGGTTATTATTCCAATGTGTAATTATACCAAATTTTCTTTATCCATTCATCCACTGATGGACACTTAGGTTGATTTCTTTGTTATTGTGAACAGTGTTGCAATAAACACAGGGGTACAAATATTTCTTTGATATACTTATTTTCTTACCTTTGAATATATATCAAGCAGTGGAATTACTGGGCTGTGTGGTAGTTCTATTTTCAGTTTTTTGAGAAATCTCCATACTACTTTTCCCAAATGGCTATACTAATTTACACTGCCACCAAAATCATATGAGTTCCCCTTTCTCTGCAGCCTCACTATCACCTGTTAATTTTTTCTCTTTTTAGTAATAGCCATTCTAACTGTGGTAAGATGATATTGTATCTTTGGTTTTAATTTGCATTTCCCTGGTAATTAGTGATGTTAAGCATTTTTTCATATACCTGTTAGCCATTTATATATCATCTTTCAAGAAGCATCTGTTTAGATCCTTTGTCCACATTTTAATGGGATTACTTTGCAGTTGAGGTGTTTAAGTTCCTTGTATGTTCTGGATATTAGTTACTTATTAAGTGAATAGTTTGCAAATGTTTTCTCCCATTTGACAAGTTGTCTCTTCACTCTGTTTTCTCCACTAATATACAGAAGATTTTTAGTTTAATATAGTTCCATTTATCTATTTTGAGGAGTTTTTGTCCATGTTTTAGGAATGTCAGCAATGAAATTTTTGCCTAGATAAATGTCCCAGAATGTTTCTCCTGTTTTCTTCTAGTATTTTAATAGTTGGGGGTCTTATGTTTAAGTCTTTAATCCATTTTGAGTTGATTTTTTTATATGGTGAGAGAGAAGGGTCATTTCATTCTTCTGTATATTTAACCAGTTTCCCTAGTACCATTTATTAAAGGGGGGGTGTCCTTTCCCCAGTGTATGCTCTTGGCACCTTTGCAATAAATCAGTTGGCTATAAATACATGGGTTTACTTCTGGGTATTTTATATTGTTCCATTGCTATATATATCTGCTTTTATACCAACACCATGCTGTTCCCATGAAGTCAGGGAATATGATGCCTCCAGCTTTGTTCTTTTTGCTTAGGATTGCTTTGGCTATTTGGGTTCCTTTTTGGTTTCATACAAATTTTAAGATTATTCTGTTTCTGACAAGGACTAGACTCTTAAAATGAAGCCGTGCTGCAGCTTCCTAGGACTCAGGGGGTGCAAGGAACCCAGAAAAAGCACCCTTTCTAGAGCAATGCCATTGCATGTACTTGGTGGAGCACTCTATGCCAGTCTTGGAGTTCATGGGGGTCAAGAACTCTCCCATGATTAGGATTACAGGAGTCTGCAGCAAGAATGTGGACAGTTAGGGATCTCTCAGTTACCCCAACACTGCACTGGGGAGCCTCTCCAGGCTTCTGGTTTATCCTAGCAAGGCTGTCCACCTCTCTTTCCTCTCCTCAGGTGTTTCCAGCCACTTCTTTGCTGAACACTAGCATTCTCTTTTAGATGCTCTATTTGAAGTGTGGTTACCTACTCACTATTTTGCTTCTTCTTTGTGGAGAAGTGTCCTGTGCCTCTAGACAGCCATCTTGAAAAGCCTCCTAAAAAGGAATATCTTATGTACCACATATCACTAGCCCAGGAAGAGATCAAAAGTAAAAGTATGTCGAAACTGCAATAGTTTCATACCACTATAAAATCAAAACGTAAGTCAGGGACAATATTTTGACTTTACAATGGTATGAAAGTAATATGTACTCAGTAGAAACTATACTTCATATTTTGAATTCTGTATTTTCCTAGGCTAGCAGTATGTACAATATTCTCTCATGATGCTGGGCAATGGCAGCAAGCTATAGCTTCCAGTCAGCCATGTGATCACGAGGGTAAACAATTGATTCTCTACAGTGTAATATGTTTTTGACTTAGGATATTTTCAATTCGCAACAGGTTTATCAGGATGTAAGGGCACTATAAATTGAGGAGCATCTGTGTTTCTTTTGCCTGACTCTACCTCTCAACAAAATACTTTAAATACCTCTCAACAAAATCACTTTAAAAATTCTTCAGGTATAATAATTTATGCCAAACATTACTGAAAAACATATTTAATATGGCATGTTCTATACCTTATAGGGAGCCAGAATTCTCTGCCTGAACTTTTCAACTGTTTCTTGACCCATAGTAGACCACGTATTGACAAATGCTTCAGCTTTGTCTTGTCTAAGGTGAATGTTCTCTAATTGCTGCTGCAAAGCTGCTGGCTTCACGTTGTGATATACTGCCTATTAAAAAGAAAAAGAAATTATTTATGTCCGTCATCTTCATACAGAAACCTTAAACTATAATAAATACAAAATTATTTTTAAATTACTTAAGTCAAAAGAATACTTCATAGTCCTATTACAGATATTTTTGGTTATTTTATAAATAATAAAACACATAATGAAGGGCCAGAAGAGTCAGGATTAAATGGCCTACATTATTCAGGCTGAATTTTCTTTTTCATTTTTGCCTGTGCTTTAAGTAATCCTAAATCCACTTAATAACCAAAAAACTTCTTCTTTGCTTTAGCTATGTAAATGGTATCCTAATTAAAATTTCACTTAATCATTTCAAATAAGTATACAACAGTTTTTCCAAGAAACACTTTCTCGAAATTACCTTATCTACCAGCTTCCTAGGTAATATATAATTAAAAGTTGTAAAAAAATGTTAACAGTGATACCTGTTCCATTTCTCACATTATTCTGGAACACCATGCTATGCTGTCCTACTCGATGATCCTTTTCTTCTACTGAAAACCCACCAAAAATTAGAATCACATTAATCTTTGTGATCTATAATATATACAAGGCTGTAGTCGATGCCTGGCAGCTTGTCCTCCTAATATGTTCATTAAAATGCTCATTAAGCTACAAAACTATTTAAACTTTTATTTCACAAGTATTATTTTTAATCAACCAACAGGTATTTATGAGGATCTATTTTAAGCCCACCAATGTGGTAGGTTTACATAAGATACACAAAAAAATATGATCCTGCCCCCCACAAATTAGAATCTAGTGAAGGAGACACAACTAACATATATGAACTACTGAAAGACTAATAATATGCTCTACTGTGATAGCCAAGGATTTTTAAAAATTCAAATAAAGGCAGACTGAAAGTATAAGGGGTCACAGCTGAAGTATAGAAAATGAATCTTGAATAGGAGCTTAAATAATGAAGTGAATTTAGATAAGAAAAAGGGATGCAGAAGGACAGCTCAGTAGCACATAATGTGACAGTATTTCTTTTCTAAATGCCTTACTTACCATCCTAGTCAATACAGCCCCCAAATCATTTAGTAGCTTAAGTAAAATACGTCCATTTTTCCATTTATACCAAGTACCAATGAATTAAAATCTTTTATAAGTGTCTCAAAACAATGAAGTCTCTATTCATATTTTCAAATACTTTATAATATTCAAATATTTTAACATTGAAATTCTTAACTAAAACATATTCACAGCTTCCATCTTGTATACTTTTTAATTTAAAAAAACCAGAATGTTATAGATATCATAACAATACAAATATGTAGTAAAAACACCATGGTTAGAAAATTTGATGAAATAAAAATACCTGTTCTAAAATAAATGATATTGTTTCAAGAACTAGGTGAAGATCTTGCTTCTCCAGAGAAAATGCTGCTTGAAGTTTTTCTTCCTCTTCTTCACTGAAACTGCTCTCAGCCTATGACACAAATAGCAATCTATTTATTATATGAACACATATTTAGGCATTCAAAATTCATACTTGATAGAAGATTCATTTATTCATATGTGAGATGAGAACTTTAAAGGAAAATACATGATGAAAAGAAACTGATACGCATGTAAATTTATAAAATGTATGATGCTCATTTCTAGATCTTTGTAAACAAAATAAATTGGATTAAACAAATATCTTGTGATGACTCAGGTCACAATTCTGAGCAACAGATCCCTGTACTAAGACATAGATGATTTTTAACTTCAGCAAAAAGAAATCTCAGACTTTTGTGCTTTTATGTTTCTTGTGCCTGATTTTCATAATTATTCCATTTGATGTGATGATCAGCAGATATTTCTTTAAGCTGCCTACATGCCCAATGATAGCACCTTCATCTCCCAGTTTGCTATTTCTAATATGCCATGGTCAGGAATCCAGAGAGCTGACCTCTCAGAACTAGATAAACAGCATGGTTACCTCAACAGGCTTTGTATGAGGGCCTCAAAGTCTCCTATGGAGCAAAGTACATGAGTTGTTTTAATACATGAGTTGTGACAGTTATTTCTGAAGTGCAAAGGTCAAAAATGTTTATTTCTAACTTCCATAACTAAGCTATGGAAGGAAGTTTATCTGACTTCCATCATCATTTCCCAATGCAAACCGTTGGCATGCTAGATGGGACAAGCCTTCGTGCAGCACTGCCCTAAATAATGCAAAATATTTTTAAAGTCCCTGGACATTAAATACCAGTAGCACCCTCCAGACATTGCAATGAACAAACAAAATCTTCATGTATTTGTACATGCCAGGATGAGCCAGGAAGATAGTCAGTTCAAAGAGGACTCCCAGATCATTAATCAGGTACGGATGCCCACATTCTATGCCTTAGCTGTCTTAGTTCCCTCATGTTGATCCCTACTCGGGATTCCAAGGAACCAGCTTGGACAAAAATATATCTTCTGCCCATAAACAGATTAAACTTGGTAAAATAAAAGTACCAGTAGAGAAGTAACAAAATCCCTAAACCTCTTCACCCATTTGCCTGCCTCAGGTTTCACTATTCTAAGAATTCTGTCTCAAGACAAAGACCAACTTGATGAAGTCAGGGTACAGAAAAGAAAATTGGCAGATCCTGAAATTTACTGCAAACTTGACTGAAGAGCCCTTCTCAAAATAGAAGCCCCTCTAGAAGATCATCCCCTGAAACTGTACAGGAAAAAACAATTTACACCTTTCCTGAACATTTTCTTAGCAGGCAAGTATTTATATACATATGTTTCTTTATTTAAAAGTCCCTGTATTTATATACATATGTTTCTTTATTTAAAAGTCCCTGGACATTAGATTCCAGCAGGACCAGTAACTTCAATTTTCAACAAGCACCTCTTTTCCTCTCCACTCTCCTACCTCTGATGACAAAGCATTCAAGCTCTTCCACGCAATGCTTCAGCCACTCAGTGAACTCTAAGATAGATATTAAATTATTCTCAACTCCAGACATGACTGACAGAGTCAAAGACAAACTAAACATCACAATTTTCCAAGCATGTATTCCACTCTCTCTCAGTATGAAGAACAAAAGATGTATAGAAGAGTTTCTTGTCCTATATTGTTACACATAAGAAAGCACCCACCAGCTCAAGAAATAAAGCAGAATATCTGTTTCACCCACATCATTTACTTTGGGACTGATTTATGAAATGTTCCATACTCTTTCCTGAGGTTTCTTATAATAGGGGATGATGGAGTCACGGAGCCAAGCTGCCTTACTACCTAGCTGCATGACCTTTGGAAAATTACTTAACTGATCTCTATCTTGGTTACCTCATAGATAAAATGAAGGTGACCAGAGATGACCACAGTACCAACTTCTTCAAGTTGCCATAAGGATTGGATGAATTAGTAACACAAAGCCATTAGTACCACACTAGTCAAAAAGAAAGCAATGTAACTTTATGAATAGTAAATAATGTTGCTGCTATCATGGGGTTCCTCCTTTCTCTCCATCTGTATCACAAAATCCTTAGAAATAGGAATATATTAAAGAAGACCTATGTTTGTTTTGTGTTTCCCATGGCAAGGAAAATAATTAACTCCAAGAATATTTATTGAGTGCCAACTATACCAGTAGCAATCTATTAGGAATGGGAAATATAAAGATGAGTAAGACATAATCCTCAAGATATTTAAAACCAGAGGAAGATAGATTAATAGGTTTAGGGATTTGGTTGCTTCCTAATCATGAAACAAATACTTACGATGCAGTACTAAAATCAGGTGAGAATGAATTAAGAGCACAGAAGAAAGAACAAACTGTTGAGACCGAGCTTGTGAAATCCTTGAAAGATGAACAGGTTACTCGGTAAAGAAGGGAAGAAGGACATTTATAGGCTAAGGAAAGAGTTTATGCATAGACACACTGTTGAAAAAGTTCATGGCACGTTGTAGTAAACAGACACCATCCAGTGTAACTGCAGCAATTACAATACAACATGAGGAGAATGTAGACTGCAGCCATATTATAATGGGACTTGTACACAATGTTAAGGATTTTAAGCTTTCCTCAGGGGGGCAATGAATAGTCACTGATGGCTTTGCACACTGTAAAAAATATAATCCATCTTTGTTTTTGGAAAAAAAAATTTAGAAAGTAATTTACATAGTACTATGAAGCAGTAGAAAACAAGAAAACTATAGGCAGGGAAACCAGCTTGAAGGGAACTACTGCCTTCTAAAAAACAAATAACAAGGATTTGAACTAGAATTGTGAGAACTTGGATTTGAAAGACACTTCACAGGGAAAAGCCATGGTTTTGAGGCTGGCTCTTGGCCAAGAAAAAGAGGAAAGAGTAGAGCCTTGGTTCTCATTGGATGGTGATACCTGGCACTACAAAGAGCAATTAGTGGGCGCTCCATAAATATGTCTGATGGAATCAAATTTTTATAGCCCAATAAAGAAATTAACTTGGATTAAGCCAGGTAGAGAATTACTAAGCATCCACATGTCCAAAACAACCATACCTTTAAAATAAAAGTGAAAGAGGAACAAAATTAAGTGAAAGATTAAATACTAGTTGATAGAAAATATCAGAATTATTTTTCAGGGGAAAAATGAAACCAGGACATCAGAATTTTTCCCTAAAATATATCTTATAGAACATTAGTCCCAAAATATATACCATAATAAAACAGATTCAAGGCCAAACACATTTGGAAAATGTTACATGCTATAATCACCCTCAAATACATACTCTGAAAACTTCCGTAATTTAAAAAATCTAACTTCATTGAAGACAGAGTTTCTCAAACTTTTGACCATGAAACATTACCAAATCTCCCACAGAATCAGTGTCCTTAAAAACATATTGGAGAACACTATACTTTGCAAAAAGTTCTCCAAATAATCAGACTTTCAATTAAATCAGAAGGAAGATTACAAGGTATGGAAACACAAAAATACAAACCTTCAGGTGAAGCTTTTGAAGAATCCGAGTGAGCAACCGTGGAAATCTTCCTATATCTATCTCATTTATCAGTGACACTGCTTTCTTCATGCTAAAGAAAGTTATAAGAACAGTTTAAAAATGTGTTTTCCAAGCTGAACTATACTTTCTGTAGCTGTCTGTAAGTTTTCATTCCAACAACTCTGATTGCTATATGGTAAATCTGAGTGAAATAAAGAAAAACAGATGACAGCCAGCAGAAAAGGCAGGGTAATCTGAACGTTTCCAAAAAGATACCCCTGAAATTACTTCTGCTAAAAAGGTCCATTTGGCAAATTTTCTTTGTTTTGGGCAAACCGAACTACTAGGGAAAGCTTGTACTCTGCAGGGGAAGGGCATTAATTCGGTAGAGTGTTTATGTAGCCACTTAACCCAAAAATGGAACTCTGAAAGGGGTAGGGGGAGAGGAACAGCAATTAAGGCAATTACACCAAAAACATAAAGAATACTGCAAGGCAAATAACTTTTCAAATACTATGTACAAAATCATTTGGGGTCACTAAGCACACAGTTATTTTAAAACTGTTTTAATTGTAATAATCAACTTTATTTATTTTTGAGATAGGATCTCGGCTCTGCGGCCCAGGCTGGAGTGCAGTGGTGCAGTCTCGGCTCACTATAGCCTCTGCCTCCTGGGTTCTAGGGATTCTCAGGCCTCAGCTTCCCAAGCAGCTAGGACTACACGCGCACACTACAGCGCCGGCTAATTTTTTTGTTTTTTGTAGAGAGAGGGTTTTGCCCTGTTGCCCAGGCCAGTCTCAAACTCCTGAGCTCAAGCAATCAGTCCTGCTTTAGCTCATGCCTGTAATCCCAACATTTTGCAAGGCTGGGGCGGGCAGATCACCTGAGGTCAGGAGCTCGAGATCAGCCTGGCCAACATGGTGAAACCCCATCTTTACTTACTAAAAATACAAAAAAAACTAGTCAGGCGTGGTGACAGGTGCCTATAACTTCAGCTAACTGAAAGGCTGAGGGAGGAGAATCGCTTGAACCGGGGAGGCAGAGGCTGCAGTGAGCTGAGATTGTGAGATTGCACCAATGCACTCCAGCCTGGACAACACGAGGGGAAAATCCGTCTTAAAAAAAAAAAAAAAAAAAAAAAAAAAAAGAGAGAGAGAGAGATCAGCCCGCCTCAGCTTCCCAAAGTGCTGGGATTAAATTAGGCAGGAGCCACAGCACCTGGGTCTGTAATAATCAACTTTAAATGATGTGATGAGAACAATTCTATACTGCACCATACTGGATACAGTTTACTGATACAGCAGTGTTCCCCAAGACATTGGTATGAGGAAATAAACTGGCGATCAGAACCAAAGTGAGGCAGGAAAATAGGGTCTGGAGGTTGGGAACATAAGGCTGATTCACAGTTCAGCTATGACAGGAAATATCCTCTCCATAGGGTGCAGGCGGAGTAAATGACTTTGTAAATTTACTTCATCCTCCTCATTTACCTAGGGAGTACACCAGGTAACCAATGGAATCCTCCAGGGGGTATTTAAACTCCCCAAAATTCTGTAGGGTTCCTAGAGCCCATATGCTCGGGCAACTCTCACACTGCGGAGTGTAGTTTCATTTTCAATAAATTTCTTCTTTCTTTCCTCGCTTTGTTTGAGTGTCTTCTCTAATTCTTTGTTCAAGACGACAAGAACCAGGACACCCTCCACTGGTAACAAAAGGAATCCAGGAAAAAAGAAAAACTTTAAAATAGCAACTCTTTTCTTCTGGAAGATTTCTGCCCAATCCAAGCACAAAGAAATTTCTTCTGAACACTATTTTGCCTATATAGTTCAGTTCTTTTTCTCTATCCACACACCACCCGCACTATTACTTATTTTTTCCACAAATTGAGTTTTTTTTTTTAATTTAAATAATGTTAAAGGGGAACTTTACATCACCACCAAGGACAACTAACTTTATTTACCATAAGTAGAAATTAACCAAAAATTTGTTAAAAATGGAAACAAAAGTAAATGCCACCAAGGCGAAGCTAAGGCTATATATTGTTACCAACCAAAAATTCGGGGCCTGAGCCCTATTTGATCCTGATTTAAAGGGGGTATTAACATGTGTTGGCTATTAAAGACCTTCCAGCACCAACGTGAGCCTTTCTCACGAGATGGTCTGAACGAGAACTGAAATCGGAAACGGCATATCGTTCCGCGTAATTAGGCAGCACTCAAGACAGCGCCCGGGAACTTCTGTTACCAAAGTCCACGAACAGTGACGCATACCATTCGCTTGCAGACCACACGCTTCCGTACAGACCTCAGCTGCCAGGCGCACTGTGAGCCGCACATGTGGACCACCGTGACTGTAGAGGCGCTACACGGCCCCACGCACTCCGCGGACCCCGCGTCGCGACGTCGGTAGCCCACCCCACAAGACCCGGCCCCACACGGCGCCCAGGCGGTAGGCAGCCAGGACAGCCTTGCGCGAGCCCGATCCGCGCCTTCCCGGCCGCGGCTACAGCAAAAGCTTAGAGGGTCAGCTACCTGGGGCTCTCCCGTAGGATCAGCGCTGCCGGCACCGCCATCCTCACAGCTTTCTAGCACTGCCGCTGTCGGTCAGCTGCGCCGAGCCCAGCCAATGGCGACCGCGGCGGACGGAAAGCCGGAAGGCCCAAGCCGCGCAGGGGCCTCTGTAGGAGTCTAGGACTTCTGCGGCCCAGGCCACCGCCGGGAGACCGTCCCGCAGTTCTGTAGGTCGGAGACGGCGGCCCAGTTGTCCTCCCGACACCCCAGTCGTGTTGGAGTTAAGTCTGTGCATATATATGTCTTTATGTTTCTATATTATATATGTATGTACATACCTGGATAGGTGGTGTGTATGTGTGTATTTAAGAGGGCAGGTTTAAGCAAGTCTATGTACAGACCTGGATAGATGATATATGTGTGGCTGTGTGTGTGCATATGTATGTTATAATTTTTAAATAGGGCAAGTTTTAGCAAGCCCGTGTGTACATACTTGGTTAGGCGGTGTGTGCGTGTGTATTTTTTTAATAGGGCAGATTTAAATGAGCCCATGTGTACAAACTTGGTGTGTGTGTGTGTGTACTTGGTTAGGCTGTGTGTGCACGTGTGTGCGTATGTATTTTTTTAATAGGGAAAATTTAAATGAGCCCGTGTGTACATACTTGGGGTGTGTGTGTGTGTGTGTGTGTGTGTGTGTGTGTGTGTGTGTGTGTTTTCCAGCGTTTAGCCTGCGGAGAGGCAGGCAGTTGAGCGCGCTCCGCCCCACCTGCATCCCAGCCTACCCAGAAAGCGGAGCATCACTTGTCAGGAGAGGTAGTGCCTCCAGTTTCACCCTAAGCATTGTGCCATGAACTCCTCCTGTATCTGCATCTGCAGGGCTTGTAGTATGTACGTTCAATTCCTTCATCAGCGTTCAATGAATGAACGCCTACTGTGTACCAAGCACTGTGCTGGCCACTGGAGAAAAAAAAAAAAAAAAAAAAAAAAAAGGCCAAAATTTCTGCTCTCAGGGTTCGCCAGCAGTCTAAATGGACAAGTATTTGTTGCACCCTTCTTTAGAGTCTGCCACTGCAGCGTAGGGGAGTTGAATCGCTGCAGTGAGTGATGTTAAGGACCTCATCCAAGACAGGGAGACCAGCATGTTTGCATAAATACCTTGGTCTGCCTTTGAAAAATTCATGAGCGTTAAAGGAATTCAGATGTAGGAGCAGTGAAAGGCATTAGAGGTAAAATCAGGAAAAGCTTCCTGGGGCAGGTGGCAAATGCAGTGGGTCTGTAGAAGTGTGAAGTGTGGAGGCAGTGTGTTTCAGGGCAGTGGAGGAGAAGGATGGTTTGAATGACTTTGAAGAACAGGAATTTAGGCTAGAAAAAGCCTTTAATGACTGGTTGTGGTTATGTGCATTTAATCCGATGAGAAATTGGGTATCCATTAAATGTTTTTTCTATCCATTAAATGTTTTGAAGCAAAGAAATTTTGCAATGGGAGTTGGTTTTTTGAAGGCTGCTGTCAGCAGAATGATGATTAGAATGGAAAGAGGTAAGCAGGAGAGCTACCTGGAAACTATTGCAATAGTCTGTGGAATGCAATAAAACCCTGTGGTACTATAAAGGCATTGGAGAATTAAAAGATAGTGGATGGTTTAGTTACATTTCAGCAGTAGAATATTCAAGAGCTGACAAAAAAATTGAATTTAATTTTCCTTTCTAATTATGTTTTACTTAAATTATTATTTAAATTAGCATTCCTGGAGCAGCCCAAGAACAACCTAACTGAAAGGAGAAGCCAGATTGCAAATTAAATGTGAATAATCTTCACATGGATAATTGAGTCAATTATACAGTGTGTTGAACACATACAAATACATTTAGTTCCACAACACTCTACACAGCCCCCAATGTATGCATATCTGAAAAAGATGTGTGTGAATCTATATAAATTATAGATCTCTGATGCAAACACAGATGACCTCACCTGCAACTTTGGAAGGGTCCCAGTTCCCTCATTCTTTGAATTATTTCCCTTTTGTCTTGACTGATTGCCTGAAGTAGAACCATTAACCAACTGAAACTGTTTCAAGTCCCTAATGAAGTTCATCTTCCGTTTGATTGTCTTAAAAATATGTAGCTGGAATTTTGAGCAAAAGAGCATCAAAGTGGCTCAAATCCCAAATCCATGTAACCTTGAACAAAGTACTTAACTTCACCAAGTTTCTCGTTCCTGATCTGTAAAATGGGGATAAGAATAATGTCTGCTCCCCTGGATTAAATAATGTGATATGTGTGTAAAAGAAACACCCTACCCTCCTTAGAAAACAAGACACAGACCTCTAAGGTTTTCACAAGAGCAAGTCTCCAGTAGACACAGAGGCCACTCACTCTTAATTCTCTTAAATTTCAGTGATGGGCTGATTACTTATTACCACTTGTTTCTATAAAGACATGATGCTGTGAATAGTTTCACACCTCAAATGACAACCTCACCCAAGATATTTCTGCATTCTCTGGAGTATAGGCACATATGTCCATGAAAAGTCCTTTTACTTGTCTGCCTGTTGTCACCTGCTATAAAATGGGAAATGTACTTCCTGGAGACAGAATTCCATCACCATTCTTAATCCTTACCCCCTAAATCTGTTAGCCCATATTCATGATGGATCCAGAGACCAGGTCTGCTGCCCCTGATCCATTATGGCGTTGCATGCCTCAAAGTTTTTGAATATACTTGTCTTCATTGAAAACTTTTTTTTTAATACTTTAAATTCTCGGATACATATGCAGAATATGTACGTTTGTTACATAGGTGTACACCTGCCATGGTGGTTTGCTACACCCATCAACCCATCGTCTACATTAGGTATTTCTCCTAATGCTATCCCTCCCCTGGCTCCCCACCCCCTGACAGGACCCAGTGTATGATGTTCCCCTCCTTGTGCCCATATGTTCTCAATGTTCAACTCCTACTTATGAATGAAAACATGTGTTGTATGGTTTCTGTTTCTGTGTTAGTTTGCTGAGAATGATGGTTTCTAGCTTCATCTATGTCTCGGCAAAGGACATTAACTCATTCCTTTTTATGACTGCATAGCATTCCATGGTGTTCCACATTTTCTTTATCCAGTCTGTCATTGATGGGCATTTGGGTTGGTTCCAAGTCTTTGCTATTATGAATAGTGCTGCAATAAACATACGTGTGCATGTGTCTTTATAGTAGAGTGATTTATAATCCTTTGGGTATATACCAGTAATGGGATTGCTGGGTCAAATGGCATTTCTGGTTCTAGATCCTTGAGGAATCTCCACACTGTCTTCCACAATGGTTGAACTAATTTACACTCCCACCAACAGTGTAAAAGCGTTCATATTTCTCCACATCCTCTTCAGCATCTGTTATTTCCTGACTTTAATGATCATCATTCCAACTGGCATGAAATAGTATCTCATTGTGTTTTTCATTTGCATTTCTCTAATGAGCAGTGATGATGAGCTTTTTTCATATTTGTTTGCTGCATAAATATCTTCTTTTAAGAAATATCTGTTCATATCCTTCACCAACTTTTTGAAGGGTTTTTTTGTTTTCCTTGTAAATTTGTTTAAGTTCCATGTAGATTCTGGATATTAGTCCTTGGTCAGATGGATAGATTGCAAAAATTTTCATCCATTCTATGGGTTGCCTGTTCAATCTGATGACAGTTTCTTTTGCTGTGCAGAAGCTCTTTAGATTAATTAGATCCCATCTGTCAATTTTGACTTTCATTGCCATTGCTTTTGGTGTTTTCGTCATGAAGTCCTTGCCCATGCCTATGTACTAGATGGTATTGCCTAGGTTTTCTTCTAGGGGTTTTATGGTTTTAGGTCTTACATTTAAGTCTTTAATCCATCTTGAGTTAATTTTTGTAAAAGGTGTAAGGATGGGGTCCAGTTGGAGTTTTCTAAATATGTCTAGTCCATTTTCCCAACACCATGTATTAAACAGGGAATCCTTTCCCCATTGCTTGTTTTTGTCAGGTTTGTCAAAGATCAGATGGTTGTAATTGTGTGGTGTTATTTCTGAGGCCTCTATTTTGTTCCTTTGGTCTATATATTTGTTTTGGTACCAGTACCATGCGGTTTGGGTTACTGTAGCCTTGTAGTATAGTTTGAAGTCAGGTAGTGTGATGCCTCCAGCTTTGTTCTTTTTGCTTACAAGTGTCTTGGCTATACAGGCTCTTTCTTGGTTCCATATGAAATTTAAAGTAGTTTTTTTTCTAATTCTATGAAGAGTCAATGGTAGCTTGATGGGAATGGCATTGAATCTATAAATTACTTTGGGCAGTATGGCCAGTTTTACAACATTGATTCTTCCTAACCATGAGCATGGAATGTTTTTCCATTTGTTTATGTCCTCTCTTATTGCCTTGAGCACAGATTTGTAGTTCTCCTTGAAGAGATCCTTCACATGTCTCGTAAGTTTTATTCCTAGGTATTTTATTTTCTCTGTAGCAGTTGTAAATGGGAGTTCACTCATTATTTGGTTCTCTGTCTGTTTTTGGTGTATAGGAATGCTTGTGATTTTTGCACATTGATTTTGTATCCTGAGACTTTGCTGAATTTGTTTATCAGCTTAGGAGTTTTGGGGCTGTGACGGTGGGGTTTTCAAAATATACAATCATGTCATCTGCAAACAGAGACAATTTGACTTTCTCTCTTCCAATTTGAATACTCCTTTTTTCTTTATCATGCCTGATTGCTCTGGCCAGAATTTCTAATACTATGTTGAATAGGAGTGGTGAGAGAGGTCATTCTTGTCTTGTACCAGTTTTCAAAGGGAATGCCTTCAGCTTTTGCCCATTAAATATGATATTGGCTGTGGTTTTGTTGTAAATAGCTTTTATTATTTTGAGGTATATTCCATCAATACCTAGTTTATTGAGTGTTTTTAGCATGAAGGGGTGTTGAATTTTATCAAAGATCTTTCTGCACCTATTGAGATAATCATGTGGTTTTTGTCATTGGTTCTGTTTAGTGACAGATTATGTTTATTGATTTGCATATGTTGAGCCAGCCTTGCATCCCAGGGATGAAGCTGATAATGGATAACCTTTCTAATGTGCTGCTGGATTCAGTTTGTAGTATTTTATTGAGAATTTTCACATCAATGTTCATC